ATGCATTCTGTAGGTCCGTGGGGGACTTTGGCTAGCGATAAGCCCCAAAGGCAATTGCCATAAAAACGAAACGAAAATAAAGAAACAAAACTAAGTTTTACGACATTCCTTTGGATCCCGAAACCCAAAAGTTTTCTTGTGCTTTGGTTAATTGTTATCATACACCCCGCCACCCCCTCTCTTTCGATGCCCATCGCTCTCTCTCTCTCACTCTGTTGTATTTCTCTCTTTCACTGGAGAACTGGTTGCTGAAGCAATCTTAATGGGTTCTGATTTTCAAAATCAAACAATTTTATTGTCGCCATCGTCGGTCGGTCGTTCGGTCGGTCGTTCGTTTGTTGGTTCGTTCGTTGCTGTGGCTGCTTTATGGCTGCCATCTATGTGTGTCTGTATGTATGTATGCGGACCCGCGGCCTTGTCTTCTGATGTTGTTTTTGGGTGCAGTGGGGTCTGGGGTATGGGGAGACAGAGCCCCACAGGTGAGAGCCGGAGCTTGTGGCTGGGGCTTTCGGGCTAATGCCTTGCTCAAATATTTACAATTACTTTACATAAAATGCCAAGCCGTTTTGTCATCTGCCGAAACTAAAACCGAGTCGTCCGAGTAAAACGAGACCCATTCAAAGCAGAGGGTATACTAAACTAGTCGGACAGTTTGACGCACGTTCAAATAGCAGTCTGGACACTTGAAGGAAATGCAAACAACGACATGTGTCCGTTCGCTTATGGGGGCGAATAACGTGGCAATAATCAATGATTCATTATTCATGAATAATGAATTATGATTCATGGGCGCATATTCCCTATTATTTTTTTTAAAAATTTCTCTCAGTTTTTTTTTGTTGATTGTTGAAATAGTCAGTCAGCCCCATCTGTCATGTTTAGGGGCAGAAATCTTCAAAGCCCTGACGTTTTGTTGACTTGATGGGGACCACGAATATTTTCTTTATCTGGACAGGAGGGTCGGTGGGAGATAGTATGACACAAACAAACCCAAAAACCCAATGGCAGGGGGTAGAGAGGAGCTTTGGGAGACAGCAAATAAATACGAAAATCAACAGGGAGATTTTTGGTTTTTTTTTTTTTGGTGTCTGAAATGTCCAAGAACCAAGAGAGTCAAATGCATTTCTCTTGCAGTTTATCTTTTGTCTGTTTTTGTCTGTGTGCTGTCTGTTTATTTGTTTTCCTGTCTGTCTATCTGTCTGTCTCCCTATCTGTCTCTCTATCTGTACATATGAGTATATGTATGTATGTATGTATGTATCTGCCTGTTTGTCGAGTGGGGGCGCGTTGCGATCAAGTGCCGACAAAGTGCTCGTCAAGCGACAATTACAAGCAAATTAATTGAAAGTGCGCCCCCACTGGGGGGGATGATGATGATGTCCGTTCCGCTGTAGATAACACCATCCATCAATGCAGCAGAGCCTCCCAGCAACAAAACAAAAACCATTATTTAATTGGAAATAATTATAAAGAGAATGATCATACATACATCAACGCGAGGGGTTAAATTTTGCATGGCATACAGTGGATGATAGACAAGTATGAGTATATATGTTTAGTAGTTTTAGAAGAGTTAGCAGAAAGTTAGCTTGGGGGAGCGCACACACACACACACACACACTGCACAGGTGTTTGAGCATCTAAACGGATATTAGATGTTATCGTTGAAATCCGATATGTAAGAATAACTTATCTGAAGTGCGTAATTGATGAGTAATTGGGGCAATAATGGAAAGAAGGCATATTGACTGACGATTTAAAAGGGTTTTAGCAAACAATAATCATATATGATATATATATATATGTATATTATACACTCGTTTCCTTGCTTAAATATCTGATAATCAGCATGCCGTTATGAAATTAAGTTGTTGCTTAATTAATATTAATTCGTTTCATTTCAAGCTCAGTTCTTGGATATATGCATGTACCATATGGGCTGTCTCGCTCAGTCCTCTGATCTTCTTCTCTATATGGTAAGTACTATTTGGTATATTTCTTGGCAGACTTTCCTCATATCCTCCTCCCTATGACGATGCTCTTTTGATGCTTTCGTTATGTAAACCCATCTCCGAATTTGATTGTTGTTTCTGCCGCTGTTGCTGCTGCTGCTGCTGCTTTTGTTGTTGCTTTTTATTGCCGCTTGATGTTGCTGCCTCTTTTGATTTTCTTTTGTATAGTTTTTCTGCCTTTGATCTGTTTTACGTGCTTCCGATTCAATTTGTTCGATGTTTGGTGTGGGGTAGTGGAAGGGGATGGGCAGGGCAGGGGGAGGGGTTGATTCAGGGGTGCGCTGCTTTCGTTTTTATTGCCACTTGAGGCATGTACGTCTCTCTCCACTAAACAACGAGAAAATTGAGGCAAACGGACAATGCATTTTCAGATCGAACGATGCGATGATGGTTTTCGGGTAGAGGGTGAGTGGGCATGGGCGTGGGCGTGGCAATCGCCCCACAAAAAGTAGCAACAAAAATCTAATATGGAGAGACTAAAACAAAACAAAGCAACAGAAAAGTTGCAACTAGAAAGGAAGCATAGAGTTTCGGCCTAGAGCCGAGACTTTGCATACCCTAGAGCCATTCGTAGCGATAAAACTGTTGAGGCTAGGGAACACACAGAGATCTTGCATTTAGTAGGGACCCAAATATGTCGTTTGTGTGGGCATTTCTATCATACCCATAGAAAGGGTATGGGAACAAAGAGATTAAGTGAGGGTGATGGAGATGGAGAGAGAGGGCGCACTGCAGCAAAGAGATAAAGAGTCAAATTCAGTCTCTGCGCTTATCTTTCGTATGGTGCCCCCGACCACCCTCCCTCACCCATTCTACATTTCTTTAGCTGCGACTGGCGGCTCTGCTGCACTTAGGCATAGCATACAGCACCATCGCCATCGACATTTGCCTGCTCTCTCCCAAATGCAGGCATGGACATGAAATGCAAGATCTACCCGAAAGGTGTTAATGGACTCACACCACACACACACACAAGAACACAAGCACAAAGAGGCACACAAGAACAGGCACACGAACACGCACAGCCACAGCCTCTCTTCGATCTCCAGCCCCCTCCCACTCTCACTGTCTCACTAAGCTAGGCTCGAGTTTGAACACATTTCTCTTTCACTCTTCAGCGACGGCGGCAGCCTCTTTCTTCTCCAACGTTTCTTTCATTCTTTGTTTTTTTCTTCTTTTCTTTTCTTTGTCGCCGCACAATCGCACAGGTCGCCCCTGGGGATTGTTGTTGCTTTTCAGATTTCCACTAAATGGTTCGCTCTCTCACACACTCTCTCTCTCTCTCTTGCGGGCACTCTATGGCGGGCTACTCAGCGATTTTCATGGGCCATTTTCATGGTAAATTATGGACGAAGACGACCTGAAAATGTTTAAGCTCCTCTGATCTGATCGTATTTTCTAGGGTATCAAAGGGTAGATTCGAACACTGTAAGGCTCAGCGGGTTGGAAGTATCATTCTTATTGGATCAATAGATAAATACATAACTTGCATTATTGATCAATATTTTATGTTTTGTTTTGTTTTTTTTTTGGTTACAGTTACAGGGTATCAACCAAATGAGCACGTGCGCTGCTCTCTCTCTCTCGTTCTCTCTTTTATCATTTTATTTGGAACATGCAAAGACGGCAGCGGCGCTGATAGCTGCATATGGTTCTCTTTCTCCCGGTCCCTGTCCCTGTCCCTCGCTCTATCAATCGCTCTACTATCGGTCTCGCTCTCTCTTTTAATTGAAAAGCAATTAAATGTCGCTTCTTTGACTCTTTCTGAGTGATAACTGTGCTTGTGCCGCCCCTGGTCCCTGTCACTATGTATGTGTGTGTGTTGTTGTTTCCACTTTTATCTAGATACCGAGCACCGCCGTAGTTGGAATCGAAGTCAGAGCCAGAGTCGAAGCCATGCCTTCTTTTGTCTTTTTCCCTAGAGCGTTGCTAATGGAAATGAAACCCCCCGAAAAAGAAAAATACAATCAGAGCAGCGGGAGGGCGTACACCATACAGGGGTAGCAGTAGAAGGCAGGGTTCTCCACAGACCGATAGCAAAAACAAAAAAAAAAAACAAAAAACAACAAAAAAGATCTATTGTAGATCTGTGTAAAAAAGTATTCAGAACTAAATATTAACAGATTGGAATGCTCGTGGTTTTCAGCATACATTTCCACAGTCCCCCTCATATGTATCTATTGTGACCCTGAATAAATGCTTCAATACGAGTACCACATACTGATAGGAAATAAGAATATAACTACATTTAAAAGTGGGTGTAGAAACTCTGGAATAGATGCACATAAAGGAAAGTATCTTCCTCCACTGACTTTAGTACCCCCAAAGTGTCTGCTAATTATTTGTTTTATATTTTTGAAAGTATTACGAGTATTGTTTACTTGTTACTTTGTGCTTATCTGAGAGCGAATATGAAATACATATAGTAAAAGAAAACAAACACAGAAAAAGTGTTGGGGTGGTGGCAGTGGGCAGGGGCAGGGGCTAGTGGGGAGAGTCGCGTCGCACTTTGATGAGCTGCCGCCGCCACAGCTCTAACCCCAACCCAACCCAACCCAACCCAACCCGCTCTGCCATTCACAATTTCGTACATTTCGCAAGAGTTTGTGACTTTTCAACCGTTTGCCCGTCCCCGTCTCTGCTGTGTTCATTTCATGGTGTTTTTTGTTTTTTTCTCCTCTCCGCTTCGTGGATGCCCTTTCAGCACACCAATCGGCTGACTATGGGATACACCTGCGCTCTCACAGCGAAGTTGGAACGATCGGTGAGGGTATGTAAGGCTTCGGGTAACCGAAATTAGCCTTTCTTGCTGGTTTTGTTGGGCTTTCGCACGTAAGCGACGAGAATTATTTTTATGGGCCACACAAAAGCCGCTGCCAGAGCTTATCAACGGCGTGGGATCGAGAGTCTGGGATGGTGATGGGGGTTGGGGGTTGGGGCATGGGGCATGGGGCATGGATGGGACGTGCCTGTGTTTCCATTGCTTACCTGTAGCTCAGCCTCCAGCTGATTGGTGTGACCAGCCAGATTGGGCAGTGCGGTCATATTGTAGCCGAGGCCCTGGCAAGCCGACACGGCTATTCGCTGGCACTGTAATCCACTCGAGTGGTGATGATGGTGGCCCACCACTTGGCCGTGTCCATCGAGGCTGGCGCTTCCACCGATTCCCAGCCAGATGCTCTGCAGGATCAGGCCCAGGGCCGTTGCACGAGCCAACATATCTTCTTGGTTATCGTTTGGGTCGCGGGGGGCAGGGTTAGGTTAGGTTAGGGGTATTGTATGGGGCTGTCACTCCGACACGAGAGAGGTTCTCGGGGTCTCAGGGTCAAACGGGCTTCATTGCGGAACAGTTGGAAATATATTACATATATGTACACTCGCGAAGAAGCACGGGAAAAAAATTGAACAACTAAAATTCCACAAAAGACTATAAATTTATATGGACTCCAAGTTCCTTTAGATCAGTTCCAGAAACTGTTTTGATTTCGAAACGAATCGCGGCACAGAACGATGCCGGTATGTAAAGACTATATATTCGAGGATAGTTTTTTTGTGTGTTAAATATCAACGAAAATTCGACAACATCTTCGTTGTTTCCATTTTGCAGTCTTTTCTCCCGATTGTGGCGGTTGTTGATGTATTTCAATTTGGATATTTTTGTGGGAAATATTTACGAAACTACACTTCAGAGCTCCGTCGACACTATCTGTTGTTGCCCTGTCCGCGGCACGCTCATTCATTCCACATTTGGGGGGCGGCAAGGCCGTTTCATTCAAATAGGCCGACTGCGAATGTTGCTCGGCAACAAACGCGTGTTGCTGGCAAAAAAACAAGGTATGGTCCACACGTAAAGCCTCCACATAAACACAGCGCATGCAGTGCATAGCTCACCCTCTGTTCAACATTCCCAGACTCATGGCATATAGGCATCCAAGGTGAGGTGCGGCTCTTATAGCATACCGTTTATGCTGCTGGTGGTTTCGCCTCGCTGTCCATACCTTTCCATGGGCCAAAGGTTCGATCAAACCAGAACTCGCTGCAAGTGTGCTGCCAAGTATGTTGCGGACTCATGTTCCTAAGACATGTTGTGTATCAGAAGCATCGAACATGTTCGTTGGATTGCTGAACCAGTTTTCTTCGCTTGGAACATGTTCGATGGAGTTGCTTACCGTTTTTATAACATTTAAATTCTAGTAGATAAAAATATTTAAAATTACAAAATTTATTAAAAAAAAAAAACCCCTATATAGGAAATAAAAAGGAAAACAATATTCGTTTTATTAGTTAGATCACCCACTGTGCATCGTCCCATAAAGAAGATCGTGAATTCCCAAAAAAGGCCTTACAGGTTGATACCGTTTTCAGAGGGACATATGTACAACCTACCATTCCTTATGTACATACATACATATATGTAAATAAATCCCAAGTGGTAGCTGGCTATATTGCTGAAACTTTAACCTGGGAATCCACACATCAAGATGATCAGTGGCATGATCCCCCTCGGTAGACAGGTGTTGTCTGCTCTTAATGCAAACAATCCCATTCGTTTGTTTATTTTAATTTCGTCTGGGAAAGCACTGGATCTCTTTTATTTTTTTGGGGCTTGCAGTGTTTTTCAATAATCAATTAACAGACATATGGAACCCGATCCATACCTATGGTATGTTCTTTCGTCGCCTGGTAGGCGCGTCATATCATAAACACAACAACAATCCAAGCATTATGTCTGCTTAAATTTCTCGAAGAGCTGCCCAGGGCCAGCATCACATTTTCACGGCTCAGTTTCGAATTTTGGTGTGGGAAATTTTACAATGGATTTTTGGGTTTTAGTCAGAAATCTCGCATGGTACTTTTTTACGGTAACAATGTCTGTAAAGCCTATTGGGACCCATAGAGCCTACATATGGATGTATCTTTGCTGATCCATCAGATCGGATGTCAAGAACTCGGTTGAGGATTAGGAGTCGCTTCCTTTCAAGATGGATATGTGGCCCAGCCAGCAATCGGTTTGAATCTTGCAGAACTGTTTGCCTCCAAGGTCTATAAATGAAAGGTATATTAATTAAGCGCTTTTCTAAACGCAAGTCCTCTCCTGCCCCCACAATCTTTGTGTCATCGCTAAAATGGAAGCAAGAAGCAGAAAATGGAGCAGCTAAAAGATGCACCGGATGATTAACGGTCTAGGATTATTACCAATATTAATTCATCGGCACTGCCCAACCTTTTGTGTACACACTTTGTTCTCTGTACGTGCAAGTGTGGTGGGGAAATTCGATCGGCGAACCAACGGCAGCGGCCAACCAACCGCAACAGCTAGGGCCCAGAGTTGGGGCCAGGGTGCCAGTGTGCGCAGGGGCGGTGCGGGGTGGTGTGGTGTGGTAAATGCAATTGAACACGGCGACCACCACACGTTGCAGTTGCAGTTGCAGCGACTTTGACTTGGACGGGCGGCAAATGTCGGCAATCTTTGATGTGTGCTTTGATTTCCGGCAGCGAGATAAGATTTTTTTTTTTCCTCTGCCTTCTCCTGCTCCAACTCCAAGTTTTGCTGCCACTCCTGCTCCTGTGCCGCCTCATTCTCATTCTTCTTGCTCTCATTCTTTTTGCCGTCTGCTCCTTGCCTTTGGCTCTCTCCTCCTCCTCTCTGTTGCATTTTTGATGCAGAGAAATTTGCTGAAAATCAAAAAAAGAATTGCAGTAAATTATGAAAGGAAGATGTTAGATGGCCCCCCCACCTGTTTCCCCCTCCCACTCACTCTGAATTAATTTCTCTCTCTCTTTCTACCTATCCTCTTTATCCTTTTCCAGTGCCAAAAATATTCTCAATTGGAAATAAGTCGATGCGCACTTCCGCAGGGGCTCCTTCCACCTTTTCTCTCTCTCTCTTTCTCTCTTTCCCTTGTTCAATTGTCATAGAAGCTAATCCCACATGTAAGCAGTGCACAAGTAGGAAGAGAGTGATAGAGGGAGAGGGAGAGGGAGAGATTGTGTGTGCGTGTGAGTTTGTGTTTGCGTTTGTTTTGGAAGTGCGCACGTAAAAATATCTTCAAAGAGAATCAATTTGACTGGAATCTGTAATGAAATGGCCAGGCCACATAATAGCTAATGGCAAGGCACCTATTCCTATTCCTCTATGCCCACCCAACCCTCCCATCCCCTTCCATCCTGCAGCAACGGCTCATCTTTTGTTTACACTCTCTATTCTTCTTTCAGGGGCTCAAGAGTGTCTCTCTTAAGTGGCTCGCACTCGCACCGTTTGAGAATCGTTTGGTTTAAGTATCGTCGGGGATCGCTTTGGATTAAACCAGGGCTCGGCACGGCCCTATCCCATGGGTGCGGGACAAGGCGCTGCTGCTGCGCTGCCGGTACACCGACATGTATAAAAAAGGCAGCGGAGCTTCGTATGGCTTCGGCAATGTCACCAAATTCGGCCTGTTATTTGCTCAAGTTATTTACACCAGATACAGAATGAAAATGGCAGCAGTTGCTGATCAGCCGTACATCAATGTAATCCCACGCTACGCAACTACTGAAATATACACTGAGACTTTAAAAAATGGTCGATGGGAATTGGGAAAACAACATTTTTCTTTGTCCAAAATATGGATTCGCAGTAAGCCAATCCACAATTTGCGATATGTTTCGTAACCGCTGACTAGATTTATCATGTTAATTGAAAGACATTACAATTTAACGACGGCATATGTTTATAACTTAATAACTGGGGGATTAAACTTTGTGTTTCCTTGATAAGTTTCAACTACGAAATAATCTGCATGGCTTCAACCACACAATAGATTCGTGATGTTTAAAGCAAGAAACCGGTTTCGGCGTAGGCATCTTCGTGTTAGCTACCGCCACAAGCGCTACTTCACCTGGTGTGTATGGGTGTGAGCCTAACTCTGGTGGTTAAAACCAATTGTGATAATGGGGGATCGTTTTTCTATAGTGTTTGAACAGGCTATTATTATGATGGTATTTGACCAGATGTCTTTGCCCTCATCACATCCATGAATAGGCAACTGAATTTTTGTTGTTTTTTACCTCTCCCAAATGGTCACCAAAATTATTTGTGTTTTATTTGCTCATATTATATTTAAACAGATCATAATTTGAATAGCTATTAGATGTTAGATATCTCAGTACCTGTTAATGGATCCGCAAGCATACCTTTTAAGCTTTCCGTTCTTTATTATTTTGTTCTTTTCCCCAAGATCATCGATGTGATACTTTTGAAGATGGGCTGTTAACTTAAGACACATGCATCATCCTTGTTTTCATGACTTTGGCACTAGCGCCATGATATCCAGTTCTGGGTACTTTGATTTTGAAGCTGAAGAACCATTCCCATTCCATTGAGACCAGATTTATCCTAAAAACTTATGGAACCGCGGTAATGGGGATTTGCTCATCCGTTAAGCGCTGTCAACATGGAAAACGATCATATTTTCCACACCGCGTCACCGGCACCGGCACCGCCACCGTCACAGTTTCCCATCCGCGTCCTCATCACCGACTTGGCTTGCATTTACGTTTGCTGGCTGGCTTGGCATCTTTGATTTGTTTGCGCTTTTCCGATTCTGCATGGCTTTTCGTCCTCCCACCCCTCCACCCCTGGCATTTCGCGTGATGCTTTGCTTGACAAAGATGTGTACGATGTACGTTGGACGATCCGATGCGATGCCATCGGAGTGGAGTGGATGTCCGAACGACCGACCGAACCGATCCGCTCTCCCACATTCGTCTCGGGCTTGAGCCTCTGCCTCTGCCGCTGCCGCTGCCGCTGGTCTCTCAGGTCTCCTGTGTGTGCATGTGTGTGTGTGTGTGTGTGTGAGCCATTAACTAGTTTTCTGGTCGGTCGAGTTCAAAAGCGCTTATTAATCTCTGGTACTTGTGTTTAGTACTTTTAAATACGTTTTGAGTACTTTATTCAGTATGCTTGATGTTTCGCCGCCGCTTCGAGTCACGATGTTTGCCTCAGCTCTTCCACTTCATCCACTCAGCCACAGCCACAGCCACTCTCGTCTCTCCTTCTCTCTTCGCCCTCCATCATCCTCCATCCTCCACCCGATTCGTTTGTACTTTGTTTTTCGTTGTTGTCTTTTTACCTCTCGCGAATTGGACGCGCGTCAATATTTATTTTATTTATCTTTTGATTTGCTCTACACACGGATCTCCCAATGCCCTGGGGACCACGACCACGGAATATCTGCATTTGTACGTGCATACATACATACATACATACATATGTGTGTACATACACCCTCTAAACGGGCGCCTGCAATTCAATATGGCTGGACTCCCCGGCGGGATTTTAGCTGTTAACATAGGAGCCATGGAGCCCACTCTTTACACATACTCGTTCTAGTGCTCACTTTAGTTGCCAGGGTATGCGCTGTACTCACTTTAGTGACGCGCTATGCAGCAGCGCCCCTCGGTTACAGCCAGTAGAGGGAAAGATGCCTTACATCAGTCATAGATGAAGTATTCTTCACTTGTAAATTAATAAATACTAATCGTATGATTGTGAAAGTGAAATCGTAGTGTAACTCCATAATATCAGCTCAGATATCAAATATTAGGGGGTATCCGATAGTCTGAATTTCGTGTGTTAACTTGCCACTTGATGGATTTGCCTGTCGCTTTGTTTGCTTCTCGTTTTGAAGAAGCCATAAGAATAATGCGATAATTACAATGCCAAGAATCATTCGGCCCAGGTAGGTGGTAAGGGGAGTCGTGTGAATTACAGC